AGAGGGAGATGGGCCACTGTCTGTGAAAAGACGACTCATAAATGTTCAGGTACGTTCCTTTTTCTGTGCGCTAAGCAGCTTTCCCAGCCAAAGAAATAATCACACTGCAAGCATCTCCCAGGTCTTGAGAGAGCAGACGTATTTTATCTCTCCTTGGTGACGGCTGGGAGCAGTTAATGCTCTTGCATTTTAAGCTTGAATAGATTTTTGTCCAAGGCAGCTATAGTTTGTTGCTCCTCCTGTAAAGGTCTTTGTAGCCTTAGCAAACAACAGATGCTGCTTCAGGCAAGGTGAAGCTGCTTCTGTCTCAAGACAATTCACTATCTGTGGAAGACACTACTGTCTGACTGTTCAGAGGGCCTCTTACAACCTTTTCCTTTGCCCTCCCTTGCCCCATGTTCATTCTGATCTATAACATAGAAAGGGGACTCTAGAAAAGGCAGAGCATTTTTAGTAAACAGAACCTTCTGAGGTAAAAGCCTGCTACTCCGATCCATACCAACTGCTTTTGAATATGGTCAGGATGTTTGGCACCACAGCAGTCATCTTGTAACTATGAAGCAAAAAAAGAAATCGTAATATCAGGGACAGGCTGTGGTGGCACCACCACACTAACCACCCAGGAAACTGCCCACCCACGTCTTTGTCTGGAGGCTCAGGAGGAGCCTCTCAGTGGCAGGAAGCAGAGACTGTCCTTGCTCTGAGGTGGTACCTGGGTGGAAAGAAGCCAATCAAACTCTAGACGTGTGGACCCCAGAACAACTAGGGTAACGCCTCTCATGCAAAGAGCCACCTACATGTGGTTAATGGGATTAACTGTGACTCTGTTTGTCACCAGTACTTATCTTTGTTCTTTGAAGCACATTTTCCTCTGTGTGTTAAAACTGCAAGACCCCATTCCCATGGCAGAACCTGGAGCCCCAAGCCCAGTAATGACCACAGAGCCCAGGCCTCTGGTTCCATCCATTGCTGGGATCCCCCGAAAAGTCTCACTGGAAAAGAGCTCCCAGAGTCAGGGAGTCACGTTTCCACCCACTTCTTGCTGCCGGAAGCTTGGACAGGGAAGGCACTGCCCCCTCTGGGAGGAGGTCTTCCTCGCCTGTGTCTTCCATGCTCCTGGACATCCTCATTCCCAGTGATTCTCCAATTCTCTGTTAATCTCATACACTTCTCTATTGTTCCTGTCTTGTCCCACCACTTTCTGGATGCATTATGTAAAGGTCGTGAAGACTGATAAAAACCACCGACAGCATCTCTGAAGGATTACGTTTCCGAGTAGGGGTAGGAAGGTAACGTGATGACAGAAGAGAATTTCTGCAGGTATGACAAGGGCTCTGTGCTTTCAGGACAAACAACTACTGCTGGAAGCAGCTTCCCCAGAGGCAAATATCTCAAGTAATCAGTAATCCTCATGGTCATCACTCCAAAAGAGCAGGACCTTTCCCTCTGTCCTTTTTAGTAAATATGAATAGAAGGAATACTGAGTACGTAATCCAAATCAAGCCTCAACCTTCTCTTTAGAGGTCTGCCCTGTATCCTCTCTCCTACAATACACAGGGTTATTTCCTCCTAGATCCTCCTCCTGAGGGAAGGGACCATCTTCCTTCCACCTCTGCCAATCATAAGCCTAGGGATCACTGTGCTTCTACTCCCTGAGCTGTCTACCCTTGAACCTGTCTTCGGTGCTGTCTTCCATTTTCCCAATGCCAGGCATCGTTCCAGACATACTGTCCCCTTCCTGAGCTACTGCAGATGTTTCTGCTCCTCCCCCATCTCTGGAGTGTCCCCCTTCTCCCCCACACACAATGTGTCTTCTTTAAAAGCCATGGTGGCTTCTTGTCACTAGGAAACCACTGCTCCCCACACTTCACCCAGGCAAATGCAAGCAGAGGAGAGTGTGCAGGTGGCTGAAGATGGAAACATAGGTCAAAAGTTGTAAATGGGTGTCTGAAATGGTGCCTGAAATCCCTGCCTCTCCCTTCCCATAGCATGGGGGGGAAAGGCTTGAATCTGGTACTAGGTGTGAATGTGAAGAAACTGTGCTGCCTATTGCTATAAGAAGGATTAGGATTAACTTCATAGGAAGCATAAGTAATTCTTACCAAGTTAGGAAATGAAATGAAGGCATGCCTGCAACATCTTTTCCCAACTAAAGATGCACAACAACAAAGCTAAGATCAGCACAGTGGGTTGAGCTAAAAAGAAGAGCCTCTATCTGAGGCCATGTAGCATCACCGTAGGATGCACTGTTACAGCTTGTATCTAGGTGGTCCCCCAAAGCCTCATGCACTCAGAAGTGGGGCATTTCAGAGGTTGCTGAGTCTCAGGTGTATGAATGTTGATTAAGGCAGTGAGAATTGTATTAGTCCATGGATTAGTTAGCAGTCATCTAGGTATGAAAATGGAAGCCGCACCTTGAGTAGGGATGGCACCAATCCCTAGGCTTATAGCCTGGATGGACTATAAAGGGAAAAGAAGGAAATCAGGCCACTATTGCTGCTGCTGCTGCTGCTGCTGCTGCTGCTGCTGCTGCTGCTATTGCCATTGCTGCTGCTCTTGCTGCCTCCTGCCTTCCCTGCTGTGAACTGTTTCTCTTCCGACATGCCACTCACTCTGCCTTGGAGCCAGCTGACTATGGACCAAAACCTCTACAAACTTTGAGTTAAAATAAACCTTTCCTCCTTTAACTTGTGAATGTTGAGTATTTTGTCTCAGCAATGAGAAAAGTAACTAAGACACACTGTAAACAGCACTGTGTGTTCCCCAACTTCCTGCCACTATAACAAAATGTGTGAGATAATCAATTTTTAAGGAAGAAAGGAGCATTTTGGCTCACAGTTTCATAGGTCTCAGTCCCTGGTCAGTTGGACTTCTTTCTTTGGGCCTGTGGTAAGGCCACACATCATGGCAGAGAGCAAGTGATGCAACAGGAAGCAAAGAGGAAGAGGAAGGGCTGGGGTTCCAATTTCCCCTCAAGGGCACACCCCCAGTAACCTAACTTTCTCCCATGAGCCCACCCCTTAAAGATTTCACTACCTCCCAATAACATTACGCTGAGATGGCCAAGTCTTTAGCACAGAGGTCTTTTGGGTTATTCAGTATCCAAACAATAACAGACTGATTGAGAAATACATTGTTGGTCACACAGTTCTCTGCCTAGACTCTTCAGTTTTCTCTATCCTAAGTCAGAATGCAAACATTGAACCAAGGAGAAGAGCAAGGAGTAATCCCCACTGGCTCAATTTGCAGACCTTGGGCCTGTGCTTCTCTACTAATTCTTTCTCCTTTCTTCCTCTCACGGACCACAACCACGGTTCCCGTAGGACAGGAAGCTTAGAGAAGCTCTCTGTGCTTAAGTGCAGGCGAAGAAGGAGCTGGAATGGAAGAGTGCTGGACCAGTGCAGACTTGTGGCATTAGTTTTCTGTACCTAATAAAGAAGCACTACAAAGAGCACATGAAGGAGGTATGTCTGCTTAACTTCTAGGGAAGTAATTTGTACATCAACAATTCTATTTTCAGTTATGCCATTACCAAAAGGCAAAAAAGACTGCCTTGTGTAGAGAATGTACTAGTTATATAGTTTGAGGGAACCAAGCTGAGAGATAAGACCAAATAAAACTATAGGCATAGACAGTTGCAGACTGGGGAGCACTGAGGGAACTCTTCAAAACTGTTACATAGTACAAATCCAAATGCTGAAATTAGGATCCAAATGTTAATTCAAAACACAAAATTATTGATATAGCTTCATGGGACTAACCATTAAAAATTGGGAAAGTGAAATGGAAACAAAGAAATAAAGCACTAAATTCCTCATTATATCGGAATCTGAAGTTTTGGGTTTTTCTCCCTTGGGCCTGGGGATTGAATCCAGGCCTTCACACTAAGCTATATCCTCATCCCTTTTCATACATGTTATTTTGAGCCACGATCTTACTAATTTGCTAAATTTTCCAGGCTAGGCCCAAATTTATGATGTTCCCACCTAGGCCTCCCAGTGTGCTTGGAGTATAGGCATGAGCCTCATGCCTGACTTGAAGCTATTTTTAACTTTTATGTGATTAGAAACTTCAAAATTTAACTATGTATTTGATTAAATGAACAACAACCAATATCCCTGGACATAGTGGCATAGGCCTATAATCTTAGCTACTCAAGAGACAGAGCCAGCAGGATGCTAACCTGGGCACCTGTATGAGATTCTGTCTCAAAATTAAAAATTTATAAAAGGGCTGGGGAAGTAGCTCAGTGGTGGTAGAAAGCCCATAGGCTCAATTCCTAATACCATGAAAAAGAAAGCAAACAAAAAGAATCAGAGATGGTGTTAACAAAATAACAATCCACATACTGAACCTGAAAAAGTAACCTATATACAAAAAGTGTGTATAGGTGTCTTGGACCTGTAACTCCAGCAATCTGAGAGGCTGAGACAGGAGAATCACCAAATTAATCCTGACTCAAAACAAAAAGAAATTTTTAAATGACTGGGGATATAGCTCAGCGCAAAGGCCCTGAGTTTAATCTTCAATACCATCACCAAAAAGAAAAGAAAAAAAAAAAAACCTTACATAACCACAGAATTCATATGGAGCTATAGAAAGAGAAAGTATACAACTCCACAGAATTATTTCCTCAGAGAATCTTCCTTTGAAGAGTAGAATTTTCCATCTACAGTAAGTCATTTTGAAGGCTGACCTATGAAACTCCCCAAAGTAACTTCTTACAAATCAGGTTCATGCTCTGTTCCACATTCAACTTGGCTTTCTTTAACAAAGTTCTGTTTTTCTCTGCATGGGTTTGGTCACTCCTAAAAAGTCAGGTGCTCCAACTGTGATCTCTGGCTGTGGGAGGAGGCAAGAACAACCCTACTCTCTGCTCTCCTGCTTTCTGCTCAGTTCCCCACCAAATACAAACAGTCAGTAGAAGAGAGTGCTGCCCCCCAAGGGACAGACATGCCCAGGGAACCTGACCACTGCACACCACTCCCTCTAGTCTGAGGCACTACTTAGGATTCCAGAAAATTTGTGAAAAGTAGAAGTAAACACTATGCTCTGACTTCTCACAAACACACCTCTCACCTTTCATTCCTGGAGTCAGCATCCACAGTAAACTTTCAAAAAAAAAATCAGGACATGATTTTGCCTTGCAATGAGACAGGCTTCCAAATTACTAAAAAAAAAAAAAAAAAAAAAAAAAAAAAAAATACATGATTAAAATACAGTTTGTATAGCACAAGGGAACATACAGAGGAATTAGCTTAACCCTTTCATCCACCCCCAAGACAGATACTAGAATAAGGAAACAGTACCATATAAACATGAAAAGAAAAGCACAAACCCAAAGGGCACAAAATTAGATCACAGAATGAGAAGGAAGGATTATGATGTGAATAGAAAAGTTGTCCAGTTTAAAGGAAGAGACTCTCCTATTGATTTGAATGACCAAACCTGTTTAATTCTATATCACTCCAACAGTTCTCTGAGATCAGAAGAAGAGACTTTAACAAAGCTATGCTCTCCTGTTATACAGGGTCCATCTGAAAGGTCTATAGGAATCTGAATTTGGGGTAGGACATGGCCTCGTCTGCTACACAGTTACTCTGCACTCCAGGGTTTTCAGATTTCAAGGGAAGCCAGGCCAATAACTGTGTATCAACTGGAACAGAAATCTGAGATCTAGAGACCCAATTTATAATACATAATGAATTAATAAACAGGAAAGTCTGTTTGCCAAATGGAAAAGCATCCAGCTACATACATCAAAACAACATCAACAAAACTCGCTAGAAATACCAAGAGAAATAATAGAAATCTAATGCTATTTTGAGCTAAGACATGCACATGTGTATATCATCCTATGATGCATAAGAAGATAAAACAATAACGATGACAAAAAGGATTTTAAAAGTGCTACACATGATGTCAATTCCCTTGACAAAGTAACTGTGAACTTCATTTAAAAGAAAAAATAATTTTAGAGTTTTACAAATTCTAGAAAAGTAATGAGAAGAAGCAACCCTATCAGATATTAAAATATATCCTAGAGCTAGAGTTATCAAAAGTGTGGAATTAGTGCAGGAATCAAAGAAAGATGGATGAAATAAGTGAAATGGGATCGAAAATATCATCTGTATTTAACAATCCTTAGATTTGTATCCTCTGAAATATATCCATTTAGTGTAATGATTACATTTATTTAATATTTAATAAAAATATATAAGTAGATATATGAATGAAATAAACACACCAGTAGTAAATGTTAATATTTAACAAATTTAATATAATTTATTCAAATGTAATTTTAAAAAAGCAATGAAGAATGTAGCAAATAGTAATGGAGAAAAATTATGAAACAAGTTGAGGAAAATATCAACTTAAACTCATTTCACATTGGTTGCCTAACACATAATTAGAGCAAAACAAATACATGTTAAAAGGAGAAATGAATAGATGAAGGAATAATATATTAATTTCTGGATGGACTAAATACCTGGCAAGCCATAAACCATCACAAGAAATTACAAACATCGATTGTACTGATCTCTAATTGAGAAAGACCTTCTTAAATGTAAAAAGAATGGATGAGGTAAACAGAAAACATTCAATAACACTGCTTCTACAGTAACTCTAAATCCTTATGAAAAATCACACAGATATGGCACACATAGGATTAATATCTTCCATATATAAAAGTCTGTTGCAAATCAGAAGGGTAAAGACAAATATTCCAATGGAACATGAGCAAGGACATGAGGAGACAAATTCTCAGGAGGAGAAAGACAAATGACCAATAAATGTATAAAGAAATGTTTAACCTCATTTGTTATCTAAGACATGAAAAATTAAAACCACAAGAATAATTCAATTCTTAAAAATTCTGTAATCAATTACTCTCTTCTCCAAAAAAAACATGTACATAAAACCTGGAATACCATTTTTAGGTCTCCTTAGACCTCTGGATGCTGTTCAAAGATTCATAGGAAACTAGACTCAGAATTTCTGTAACATCACTGCTACAGAATGAATAATGAACATATGATAAGACGGATTTTTTTATATATTGTGGGGGCAAATACATGTTCATACATCTACATGTTCTGAAAAGCTTTTGGTATTATGTATTAAAGCCCTCAAAAATATTTAAACTTTATTGTTGTTGTAACTACTGGGAGGGAAATCTCTTGACAAAATCTGCTAAAAGCATGATGATATGTATGCAAAGATGTTCCTGTAAGCATTGTTTATATTAACAAAAGGAGCAAACTGCTTAAATTTCCAAGATAAAGAATTGTTTAAATAAATTATATCACATGCTAAAGACCATGATTATTATATTACAATGTTTTTCATTAGATACTGACATGGGGAAATACTCATGGTGGATGTGTCATTCAAAAGGAGGATGCTATGTACTTGGTACAACAATAAAGGCCTTGACTGAAGGTGTCACCCAGCTGGTGGCACATCTGCATGGCAGGTGTAGGACCCTGGGTTCAATCTCATGTACCAAAAAAAAGGGAAGGATTGCATCATATGCATGTATATAGGGAAAGCTACAAGGAAATACCACAATGTTAACAATTATTAATTCTATGTGAAAAAATTATGTGTTTCCTCAATCTTCTCTAAACTAGGAATGAATTTTACTTTCAAAACAACCAAACAAAAATTTTAATACAAAAAAGAATGATTAGGGAAATGCGTTTTTAATAAAAGAATCCAGAACTGGAAACTGGAAATCGTGAACCAGCCACCACCACAAATGTCCAATGCTCCTGACTCAATGCCATGTCAGTCACTCTGGAGTGGTAGCCCACATTCAAGTATACATCACGCCATGTTTAACAATCTGCCTGCTTAACAATTGTTCAAACTCACCACCCCACCGCGGATTTACATCCCACATTCAGATTTACAAGATCTGGAACACGAGCGGCAGTGTGGCCTTCTGGTGACTTCTACAGCATAGTATCACCATAATTTTTACTGATTGTCCTGTATAGTACAGTATTGTAGTTTTATGTTCCATTATACACCACAGTGTTGCTGTAAGAGTTATGCAAATAAAAGCAAACTCATCAGGTTGGCATTTCCTTTGACTATTTCTTCGTTCTGAATGTTGTGACATAATGTACATACTATATACAAGTCCTCATTTAGCAACCAATTCATTTAACGACCTAGTCGCAGGAATAGAACTCAATTGTTAAACAAGGAATGTCTATACAGGAACAAAAGTGGCTACTGATTTACCTTGAGATAACCTAATACATAATTAATCTGTTTGCGTTTTTCATGTGTATGTGTATTGCACATTTATGGGGAAAGCCATTCTTATCTCAGTTATCTTGGATTAGGGTCTTAGATAGTTCACACGAAGCAATAAGGAAGCCAAGAAACATTTTTCCAGGTCTCTGCCAAACACTGTTCTTATAACTTAGACAACATTAGAGAAAGGACACATATCTGCTCTCTGGTGGTTGAAATTTTGTGGAAAGTCAAAGTAGGCTACAGTGCTTGATGACATAAATTTGGAATAAGTTTGCTTAAACTCTTAAATCCCAGTTTATCACTTCCAGCTGTGTGACCTTAGGAGATTTCCATAAATTCTCTGAAGCTCGATCTTCTCATATGTAACACAAAATAATAATAACCCTACTTCCCAGAGTTGTGGATATAGCCAAGTGAGATAATGTGCCTGAAAGGTGCATGTATAGTCATTTTGTCTTCTTAATTCTCTCTGACCACCCTAACTTCAAGTGAATGTGTATGATTCGGTACCTAGAACACATGTCCCTATTGCTGTCAAGTTCTTGTCATTGATTTAAGCCTTGCATAGAGAATTAACGTTTATTGAGTGCCTGCTTTTGGCCACATGCTATTATAATATTTACTGTCCTACAGGTATAATGTCTCAGTGCTCATAGACTGTATATGTCTCAGGTACTCACAATAATTACACCTGCCAACGTCTTAAGAAACCCCCCAAATTTAAATGGCTTAACAAATCAAATTTACCTTTCATTCACATTACAACCCAAGATTTCAGTGGAAAGTCTTCCGTTCAATGACTTCCACCACTTTTGTGGTGCTGACATCTTGTTGGCCATTCCAAAGTCTTCCACTGGGCCTCTGTGTCGGGGCCTCTGTCATTCAAGTGAAGTAAAAACAGCGGAGGAAGGAGGAACAGGAGTACCTTACTTCCAGGCTTCAAGGAAGTGGTGTACATCATTTCCCTGCACATTCTGCTGATCTGATCCCAGTCCCATGGACCCTGCCTGCCTCAGGGAAGCCTGCAGTCATCTAATATACCCTAGAGGAAAAGTGTTGCTAGAATTCTTGGCTATGCTTTCCTACCCTCTAAAGGTTAATTTTTGCTCCAGATATCCTGGAACTCCTTTAGTTTCAAAGTATTTGTTGTTTTCTTAAGCCTGTTGTGAGATTGTAAGCCTGTTGTAAGATTGTAAGCCTGTTTTCCCTGAAGCCGTTGCTTTGTTGATAGAATAATTTTCTTTTGTATTTTTATAGAAGTTCCCTTTCACATACAAATGCCATACAGTTCTATCGTAAGGCATATAGAGAGCATAAAGGAAATGATGTCAAAGCAACATTTCTTCCAATGGAAAAATAAATAAAAGTTCTAGAAAGAAGTAGAAAGAATTGGAGAGGACAAGACCCAAGGCTAGAACCTTCTTGGGTCCTTGAGAGAGGTTGGACTTGGGGAAGGGAGGTCACATACCGCATGGATTACGCTGTGCATCTGGCTCATTGCTCATTCCAAACCCCTTCTTAGGTACTTCTCCAAATCACCAAGACTGGAAAGTAAAAAAACAAAAACTCAAATTGCTATTTGCCAGACTCTTACATTTGGGATTCCAGGTGTAGCTTAGGCCCTGCCAAAGCAAATACGCACCCAGATGACAAAAAGAGAGAGAAATGGGGCAGAGGAGCACTGTAGTTCTTTCTAGAGGTAGACCCTGGGAGTTTGGATTGCCTGGTGCTCTTTGCAGAAAAGTCACCAGACCTTCTGAGGAGGCTGTCAGTTTCTTGTTTCCAGTTTTCAGTGCCTCAAAATGCCAATGTATGCAGAACTGTCTTGCTGGAACACTCCTGTGCTGAAGCTAAGTACTTTCTGGCTGTTGTGTTTCCTGCTATTTGTATCCAAGCTCCATTCTCTGAATGGCCCTGGGGGATGCTGCAAGCTACCTAACGTTGCTATAGTTTGGATCCAGAGTTCTCTCCCAACAGCCTGTGTTAAAATCTTGGTCCCCAGTTTTGCATTTTTGGGAGGTGGTGGAACTTTAAGAGGTGGGGTCTAAAGGATGTCTTCAGGTCACTGGGAGTGTGTTCTGGAAGAGGACAGTGGGACCCCCCACCTTCTCTCTCTTCTTCTTTTCCACTGTTGGCTATGAGCTGCCTGCCTGTCCCTGGCAGCTCAGGACATTGTGAATTTCTATGTTCATTCCACTGCTCTACACTATTCTCAATTATTATTAGAACCAAATTCTTATTGCACAAAAGCAATAGAGTCAACACCTCATGAGCTGAAGCCTCTGAAAGCTGTAAGCCAAATAAACCTTTTCCTTTTATAAATTGATTACCTCACATATTTATTATAGTGACGGAAAGATATCTAACACAAACATCATTTCACAGACAACTTTCTACTTAACCTATGTAGAGTAGACTCTGCTATCCACCACTAAAAATGCCTGTAAATCCATGGACACTGGGTTTGGTACTTTATGTTCTGGGCACATTCAGGCTGCCAGGGGAGCTGCACAGGAAGTAGTCCAGAGGACTGAGCCTGTGAGGGCACTCGGCTATTGCCTGGTGGAGAAAAGCAGACGTGTTGAGAGGACTGATACTCTTCAAGAAATCTGGGTTTGGGGCCAGGAGGCCAAGGAGGTTGGAAACTTTGAAGTGAGAGATAGTACAGGCCCCATGGTGCTGCTTACAGTAGATGCCAGCAAGATGCCCAAGAAGCAAACAACAAACAAGATCCCTCAGCCCTCAGCAAAGGCCTGGAACTCAACTCAGGGAACAAGATCTCCTCTTTACACTGCAGTTCTACCGAGCCGAAATGCTACCCTGAAAGAAGGGGGCAACACTGTTTAGTTACCCATGTTCCACAAAAGAACTGGATATTGCGCCAGAGAACTGTCCCTGAGCTGCGCTGAAAATAATTCCTGGATGGAGTATGATAAAGAATTGGAATTCTGTATATGCCTTAGGTTGATTAAGCGCTCTTGAACAAATTTTAATTCAGTGGGTAAAAATAAAGATTTACCTTTTGGCACATGTGTAAATTTCAACACTATGTGCTGCATTACTCACTAGATCCTCAAAAATAAGCCTGTGAGGCAGTATTATTAGACTCATGAGAGTACCCAGCATCAAAAGTATCACACAAGCAGCATTGGGGATGACCAGTTCCCAAACCCAGGACATTGTGAATTTCTATGTTCATTCCACTGCTCTACACTATTCTCAATTATTATTAGAACCAAATTCTTATTAAATCTTAGGTTCAGGTTTCAAAAGCATTACCTGTATCATTTGGATATGTATTAAGGAAGCAAGTTCCACCAATTTTGACCCAAGGCCTCATGCCCAATCCTTGACTCTCCAGCTCAGACCCTGTACATCTGTTGATAGAATCAATACATGCATGCAGCAGAGGAGAGGAAGAGTTCTTGGAACTTTAGGAGAATGGGGCCAGTGACCTAGAATGTCAAGAGAGGAAGAGGGGAAGGCAGATTAGAAGGACAGCCAATTAGTACCATGTGGGAAAGTACTAAAAAATCAAACATATCTCCATAAACCACAGAACTGTAAAGCTCTTAAGATGCTAATTAGCTGGATTTCTGTTACTGAATGTTATATCAAAGTGGGTTGTTTTTTGGCCAATTAGGGCTGGGAGACACTGATTAAACAACAAAACAAAATAGATTTCTGGTACTGTAGATCTTTAATAAATTGTGTGATCAAGTAATACTCAAGAGGTAAATCTGATGGCATTTTCCAAAATTATTTGGATACTGGACCTTCTTGTTTACAAATTATCTCCCAGAGCTCCCAGGTCACACATGTCTCCACATTCCTGACTTCTGCAGATGAGGGAGAAATACCCAGATTTTGTCCTGGTTGAACCAGTGACCTAGAAATGATGGAAACCTCAGATTAAACCTCTGCAAAAGAGAAGCCAAGAAAAACTAAGTAAATATCATGTTCAGATGAACCATAATACACTATGATCCTCACACTGACTAGGTCCAAGTTCAGAACTCAACATTCTCTGAACACTATCTAGTCTGGATTTCTTTTTAAAACTTTGCAGCTACCTGGGTGGGAAAATGAGTCGTAATAATTCAGCTAAGCAGTCAGTAAACTAATTAGTGGGCACAATTTTTTAAATTTGCTTAATTTCTCTCCTTGGTTAGACAAAAAATGAAATGAAATGCCCAGTTATGAATAATTATTGCATCTGTTTTAATTAGGAAATAAAGTGACTCAAAAGTATTGCATGTTACAGTTTCTAAACTGTGAATTTTTACTATCAAACCAAAACCAAATAAGTAGTCATTTTGAATCCACAGGGTTTGCAAGACCTTGAGTTATGGGTCTTGGCCAGTGGCCCCTGATACTCTCTAATGACGCCAAATTTTCATATCCTGGGTTGACTATTACATATATTATTTGTTCTTGGGACTCAGTATTTTGTCTAGTTTGTTTACAAAACTTGCAACCACTTCCTCTCAATAGGGGAAAAGGAAAACAAACACATGCATTGCTGCCACTCAAGAAGGGAGGCTGGAGACAGAAGGGGGAAAACAATTGCTTTTGGAGTAGTCTTGCCACAGGACACGAAAGGTATGCAGAGAAGGTTTCCTAACATTCATCAAAGGCCTTGGAATCATGAGTCCCATTCCACAGTGTCTGGAAGACTTATGAAACTAGAAGTTCCTCAGTGCTCGAGTTTCCTGGAAGCCTCTAATCCAAGAGATTGTGAGAGAAAGAAATGTCCATTCCAAAGGACTAGAGCCTTTGATTAGGAAATGGTGTGGGGATCTTAGCCTCTAAAAAAATAACATGTTTGCTCAGGGATGGGGGATCCTGCTCCTAAATGATGCTAAAGCTCCTTCAGAGCTGTTTTTGTTTCAGAGAAGGCTCTCCAAAGAAACTAACAGAGACCAGCCCAAAGCACTGTGACACTCTAACTCGCTCTTTTTAGGTGACCTGCAGTAAACTGTGGTGATTATAGTACTAAATTCTCCACCTAGCAGCATTCCCCTTGGTCATTTTTCTGAACAGGTGATGTCTGACCTCAAACTGAGCATGGGCAGGAATGTACCTGCGTTGCAGTCTCCTCTTTTTGTAAGACTCACTGAGGCTGGAAAACTCTAACAAATTTTCAGGCCATGCAGTTGCAGAAGAACATTTTGCAAATCAACTGTAAACAACACTCCACTGAAAGTAGATTTGTTAAGAGATCCAATTAACTCTAGTAAGAGTGTGTATGCTCAAGTCTGCCCCAAGAGTTCCAAAGTGGAAGTAGAGGCTGCAGGAGGCCCTGGGAAAAACATTTCCTATGATCTTGCAGCTTTCACAATCTAGAGAAGAGAGCCTGAGGGATGACTGGAGCTCCACACAAAACTGTGTAAAAGAAAATCCTTGATACTGTGGAACCAGTGGAGAAGGAAGGTGGGGTCCACACACACCAGGCCTGAGAAGGTTTCTGGAGGGCACAGCTCAGCTACAGAAATGAAGAGCAAAGGTACTTCCTTGGTGAACAAGCAAGGAAGGACAAGAGATAACTCTATCATTGATCATTTTGGGAAGATTATCAGTAATGCCCACTTGCACAAGTACCACAAAACACCGCATTAATACTCAAGTGTCCCGCCAATGCCAATATGAAGGGTTATAAGGTACCAGGCATCCCGTGGTCTCTTCTTGTACTGCCTCTTGTAACAGCATTTTGTATTCTCACAGCCTTGCAAGGAAGGGCTTGCAGAAGAGGCACTTCCCCGCCTGCCCTGAAGGGGAGGGCTCCTGGGTGTCCCAGGCAGATGATCCCTGGAACCTCCTGCCCGTCTGAGGAGATGCAAAAGATAGAGGAACTATCTTTTGGCCCACCCGATGGGCCAGCCCACATCCCTTTATCTCATTTGATAGCTAAGGCTAAAGGGAAGGACACAAAATAGCTGTGTCATCCCTGAGGACAAGGGACTTTGCAGTCCAATGGTTACAAAGATAGTTCCATTTCAGGAGATGCCATTAAACCACTTTCCCTCACCTAAACTTTCCTCTCTCTTCTCTTCTCTTCTCTTCTCTTCTCTTCTCTTCTTTCTCTCTCTCTCTCTCTCCCTCTCCCCACCTCTCTCTCTTTGATCATGCAGCAGGGGTCACTCTAGACCAGCAGAGGAACCAAGCTCAGCACCATCACCAAAGCCACCTGTCTGTCTTGAGGCAGACGTGAGGCTGGGCCCCATTTCTGTTTTTCCTCCTCCTTCCCAAGGGGGCTGCCTGTCCAGGACAGGGACCACTGAAAGAGTCAGGAAGAGATGTTGTGAGCAGGAGGTAAGGGGAGGGCTCTGATACTGTGGCCTAACAGGTGCATTAATCTAAGAGGAAATTTACCTCAGCCACCCCAGCGTCCCTGCTGGGGCACTTTAGCCCTGCCATTTCCTCACTCTCCCACTCTTGTTTGTCTCCTGCAGACCAGATCTGCTCCCTCTAAGGAAAGGATTCCGGGGATGACGGTCCCAGGCCTAGAACAGCAAGTCCAGGAGTGTCCTCAGAGCCCATCCTTTTGCCATAGGGTTTGCTCCGGATTGTGAGGGCCCAGGCTCATCTAGGCAGAAGAGGCAAAACTCGGGGACTATATGCTGTGTCCTCCAAAGCTCTCTACCTTATGAATATTAATCTGAGTTTCTTAAGATTTCATTTTCTAAGCTTTCTTTTTTATAAACAAAACAATGCCATTCTTTGTTTGTTTGGAAAAGCACAGCTGTAGCCTTACCGTCTGCACACAAGGAAGGGCACTTTGGAGAGCTCAAGGGCCCTGTCCATGGTCACTCAGCCCGTGTGGGCCACCTGGTCAAAGTGGAAGGCGAGGAACATGTGATGCCACTCCAAGAGCAGGATCTTAGGGGACAGTAGCCCAGGAAGTGCACAAAGCAGCAGATACGGCCAGACCCAGACTGAGAATTGGATTCTTCTACAGCTCTCCAGAGCTTGTGCTCCTGCCCACCTAGCACCTGCAGTCGCAGTCACTGCCTCCTGAGTCTGGGAAAAAACAAAGCAAAATGCCAGCAAGCAGTTGCTGTAGACAGGGCACGGAAATGCTCGTGGGAATGTAATAAGATAAATGATAAGGATTGCCTGACCAGAAATTCGGCTACTGCAGCCCTACTGAGATGAGTTCTAATGGACAAGGTAAATTATTTTCTCTTCTACTGAAGCAGAATTTTCTCCTGCTCTCCTCCTTTTGACATGAACACTGGAATGAAAAGAGAAGGAAGTGGGCAAGGAGAAAAAGAGGGAGATCGGGGGAACACTTAGGCTTTTAGTGAAGGCTCATTTTGGCCAAGTACCCCAGTGTCCCCGTGGCCTAGGGAATTAAATGCTGTCACTCAGGTCTGAAAGCAGAGTCATCCAGTTTGCAGACACCTGTCATAATTAAACTAATGGCTGTGAAAATGTGCCTTGATATTAAATCCATCTTCCACTGAGGAGCAGAGCTGATTAAAACCACTGTCTGACAGTTAATGATGAACTTCTCGCTGGCTGAGATTTATCCCTGGAACTGACCAGTTTAGGTGATGCTCTGCACAGTACCACAGTTCCCCTGCCCTTTCCTCCTTTCTCACAGACGCTGGGCTCTCCCTCTGCACCCTCACCTTGCAGGGTCCCCACTCTGCTAGTGAGACACATTATTCTCACCATGAAGAGTGATATCACTTTCTGAGACACTGAGTTACTTTTTGGTCATCAGGAGGCTCCAAAGCTCTGCATATTGCCTATGGTGGTGACAGAGAGGCAGGGACTCCGGGCAGCCTTCCATGTCTCTTCAGGAAGACAGCATTTCCAACACATCTGTGAGACAGGCCACACTCTGTCCTATTGTAGAGACAGAGAAATTCTTTCTTGAGCTACCAAATTGCTGAGCTGACCATCTTTCCTTCCAATCAAACTTTGAGGCCAATCTTCAGGCAGCATGGTCTACAAATAGAACTATCCTTGGGAAAGGAGTGAGTTCTGAGCTGATGCTGATTGTTGAGAAATATACAGATGCTCACCAATATGCACAGCTACTCTTACCAGTCAGGGGCTTTTGGTGCAACTCCTCAGTAGGAGAAGTTAGGAGACTCCAGATCAAGGACCTTCTGCCCTCTAGGCTTTAGCTTCTTCTACAAAAACAAGAGTCTAAGAAATGACTTTTAAGTGCTCTTGTACACCCAGCAGTCTAGAATTTTGAGCCACAAGAAGGCTGGAGAGCCCCCATAAGGAGCTCAATTAGATGTCTTCCATATTTTAGATGATCGGTCATCCCCCAAGAATACTCAGTTTATAACCTTCTTCTCAACGCAGAATGGAGGGTCTCAGGAACAATTGGCTGACAATATTTCCTCCCATCAGGTAGCACAGACTCTAACAAGCAAACAGAAGTGAGCAACACAAAGCCTATGGGATCACAAGATTTCCATCTGCCTGC